GCATCGGCGAGTCAACCCTCGGAGGTTGAACAACTGCTGGAGGTTACGTGAAAGTCAAAGGTCAGCGACCTTTGACCTGACAAGTACAGCGCAACAGCAAGGACAAACAACTGACTCGTTATTGAGCAGTTGCCCGAGTCGTCACTGTATCGAACCGCAACAGCAACAGCAAAACAGTTATTAGTTATAACCCTTCATATTCCCTTGTACTCTTATAAAAGCTTGTATCTCTTTGTCTTAATCAATCGACTTTGCCCTCACATACCAGCGCAAGGTGGTTCACAAACATGAAGTTTTTTGAAAGTGTGTAACACTTTCTAAAAATGTATATTTCGAAAGCGACGCTGCTTTTAATGCAGCAATGGCAACGGCAAAGTGCTCTACGCTCTTCGCCAACTATATAGCAGGGGGTGGAGGCCATTTGGCCTCCACCCACGTCTTCGTTTGAAATTTCAAATGTCTTATTTCATTCTCGTCCGACGACTTGGCGCTTCCCGTTTTCCTCAGTTTCTCACTTCTCTCATAAAATAGTAGGCATCAACTCAATTGACATGGCACAACGTGTTTCAGAAACAGGCACCCGTCCGCACAATAGGCGCGCTTGTTGGGGCTAATAAAGCGACAACGCCACTGGCGCACGTGGCGACGAAATCGCCACAAGCGCGCGTGGCGACGAAATCGCCACAGGCGCGCGTGGCGACGAAACCGCCACAGGCGCGTATGGCGAAGCAATCGCCACAGGTGCTCGTGGCGACGAAATCGCCACAGGCGCGTGTGGCGACGAAAACGCCACAGGCGCGCGTGGCGACGAAAACGCCACAGGCGCGCGTGGCGAAATCGCCAGTGGCGCACGTGGCGTAAAAATCGCCAGCGGCGCAAGTGGCGCCAGTGGCGCTCATGGCGCCGAAATGGTCAAAATCGCCACTGGCACACGTGGCTACGACATCGCCAGTGGCGTGCAATAACCAGGGGCTCGTCCAGCGGCAGTCGGCAACAGCAGGTTGGCAAAATCTCCAGAGACAAACTGGCATGACATATGCTCTCCTGCTGCTGACATTGTCAGCGGATAACTTATTACCTTGCATATGTTTCCACCTTTTCTTCGTACGTATCTTCGATTTTTGTTTGTCTTCGTTTTTCTCTCGTGTTATTTATTACCTCTGATCGCAGTAAATCGGTGCGAGGCAACTACCATAGCTTTGGGTCACCATGAGAGACCATCGGCGAAGAAAGACTGCGGCAAACAATTGGCACAACCCCATGCGCCCCCGTGCGGTGTTGGCCAGCGAGCTCCCCAGGGGGGAGGAGGACCGGTGGGTCCTGTGCGGTGCTGGCCAGCGAGCTCCCGAGGGGGGAGGAGGACCGGTGGGTCCTGTGCGGTGCTGGCCAGCGAGCTCCCCAGGGGGGAGGAGGACCGGTGGGTCCTGTGCGGTGCTGGCCAGCGAGCTCCCCAGGGGGGAGGAGGACCGGTGGGTCCTGTGCGGTGCTGGCCAGCGAGCTCCCCAGGGGGGAGGAGGGCCGGTGGGTCCCGTGCGGTGCTGGCCAGCGAGCTCCCCAGGGGGGAGGAGGACCGGTGGGTCCTATGTGGTGCTGGCCAGCGAGATCCCCAGTGGGGAGGAGGACCGGTGGGTCCTGTGCGGTGCTGGCCAGCGAGCTCCCTAGGGGGGAGGAGGACCGGTGGGTCCTGTGTGGTGCTGGCCAGCGAGCTCCCCAGGGGGGAGGAGGACCGGTGGGTCCTGTGCGTTGCTGGCCAGCGAGCTCCCCAGGGGGGAGGAGGACTGGTGGGCCCTGTGCGGTGCTGGCCAGCGAGCTCCCCAGGGGGGAGGAGGACCGGTGGGTCCCTTTTTGGCTTGTGGGCCATTTGTAGGGTAGATTCATGGTTGTGCAATTTAGTTACACTTCTCACACACCTTAGGCTTTGAAAGCCTTCAATTGCACGGTCCGGATGTGGTCACACTTGAGTTGGTTGATTGAACAATGTTGTGGTGAGTTTGAAATGGTGCTCAAGTCTAGCAGATCCAAAAAAAAAAGAAAAAAAAAACACACACATACAAAGGGCTCAAAGGCCGGCAGATTTACCGTATCCGGATACAGATGCATGCACTCTTCGTAATGTGAGCACGGTTGTGACTGCTACAAGGGTTGGGCTCCTACAAGCATCACATCCATCATCACACAAAACACCAATGCCCGTTACCCGAGTCCTCCTATACTGCTTGCGAGTTTGTGTCCGAAGCTCACATGTCAGCCGACTCTCATAAATCAACATTACTGTGCTACACTCGGGGCAACACTTCATCCAAGGCAACAGCAGGGAATACAGCATCACCATCAACATCGGTGCCAGCCTCTCCTTCGTGCGTGATTGGACCTCCACCGACATGTCATCGCATAAGCCACAAACAACCTTTACCATCTCGTTAGAATGACCCCGTCTCATGTCTTAGAAGACCCATTTGAAACGAAGCTCGTTGCCATTGCAAACACAAGAAAGCAAGCTTTCTAAATATGAAGTTTTTTGAAAGTGTGTAACACTTTCTAAAGATGTATATTTCGAAAGCGACGCTGCTTGTAATGCAGCAATGGCAACGGCGAAGTGCTCTACGCTCTTCGCCAACTATATAGCAGGGGGTGGAGGCCATTTGGCCTCCACCCACGTCTTCGTTTGAAATTTCAAATGTCTTATTTCCCACCCACCTACCCTAGCAAAAATTGCATGTTGGAACTTGTAATGTAGGTACCATATCTAAGTAGGACGAGAATGTTGTAATGCCCATTTGAAACGAAGCTCGTTGCCATTGCAAACACAAGAAAGCAAGCTTTCTAAATCTTTCATTAAACGCTTCCGCTATTACATTGTCCTACTCAGAGTTTAGTCCTGCAAAGATCCTAAGGGCTTTCTCAGCCAGGGCCCGTGCTAGGATTTGGGGCATCCTGAGCCCTCAGGGCACTTTTCTGGAATCTTAAAAAATGCCCTGATTTGTCAGGGCAAATTTTCCAAGCCTTCCTGTTTGTTCAGGGCTTGTGCAGAAACTAATCCTGACCTGTCAGGGCAAAAACTATAGTGTTCAGGGTTCAGATTTTAGCACAGACAAAGACCAGACTCTGTGATGCAGAGCAGAGCAGAGCAGAGCAGCCGCATCACACATATAGTAGGTGTTTTACTACCCGATTAACCCCTTCGCCAGCAGCGCCGTAGTTTGTGCCGTGTCCTGCGTGCTTGATACACAAATTGCACCTCACAGATGGGAAACCGAAGGAAGTTTGACAAAGCACGAGCCACGGGAAATCAGTTGACCATTCCCGTTTGTACTTCATAAGCGCCTCCTGGTATTTATCCTCTGCCTCATCGCGCAGTTCCTCCGTCGATGAAGATGCAGCAGGAACGGCCGATGGTCATGGTACAGCTGGCTCTAAGCGGATACGTACGGTGGGTTCCGTAGGACTCTCGCGAGAGAACGACAAGCGCGACTGTTTGTGCTTGGTAGCTCTTAATTTAGCGGTAGGGGCAGGGCCGATGCGTGTCGCACCAGGTGGCACAACGTTTGTGCTGTTCCTACTAGCACGGGCGGGTGTGACTGCGGGAGTTCGAGATGAACCAGCTGCAGGTGAGGCCGTTGGTAACGTGGACACCGCTCGAACAGGACGCAAGAAATCTAAGCCGGTAAGACCTCGTGATATTGGCGTCGCGCCATCGTTCTCGTTGGCCATGACTAGTACGACTGAGCCAGCCGAGCTTCACTTGTGCTACTCAAACAGCAACACTGGAAGAGTGTTGGTTGGGTTGGATGGAGGAGTGCTCAGAGAGACACCCAGCTAGTGCATGCATGGCACACGACGAGTTGCCTTGCCCAACCTGTTCCCCCTAGTCTGATGGGTTTGTCTTGGCTGGTGCGTTGCGGGGGATCGGAACAGAACTCTCAAAGATCGTGCGAAGGCGGGAAACACACACGGGGGAAAAAATCACCGGAGACGAAAGTCCCTGGGGACGAAACCCACCCCCCCCCCCCCCCCCCCCCCCCCCCCCCCCCCCCAAAAAAAAAACGCGTCAGGGTTGGCCTTGATATTCATCCTGACGCTACAGGGGGGAACACTACGGCCATCCTGAGAGTTCAGGGCTTTGCATATAAAAACATCCTGGGACCTCAGGGTGAAAATTGGCACTATTCTGAAATGACAGGGTAAATTCAAAACTGCATCCTGAATTCAGGGTAATCAGGATGTTTTGCCCTGATAACGTGGGCCCTGTTCTCAGCCCAACAAAAAAGAGCAACAGGTATGGTAAACAGAACAGGCCTTCAGGTCCACCTGTCTACTTCAATCGCCCAGAGCGTAGAATATACCTTGTGTGCACAGCACACGCAGGCCCCCCTAGGAAACACTATTCCTTATTAAACATTTAAATACATTATGCCATAGCTGAGCATTTGAACACATTACAAACTTTGTGTTACTGCCATCAGATGGGTGTTAATTTTGACCTGTTAGGCACCTTAGCATCAGCAGCACAGCACAGCACAACAGATGCACCACTCACAGACCACTGGAGCGCAGAGCTTTTGTCGGCCGGCCGACTCATGAGCGAACCTGTGTGTGTGTGTGTGAGGCGACTGAAAAGTCACCTCGTATACCACTCCTCCAGGGACAGCACAGCAAAGGCGCCATTGCGCGTGTGAGTGTGACCTGTCACTTGGCGTGACTTGTGTGTGAGTCGACTAAAAACGCGGTCAGTCACTCCTCCAAAGAGAGCATGATGAAGGCGTCACAGAGCGACCACTGCCGGGCAGGGCAGCACTCCTGTTGGGGGGCCTCCTTGTGAGTCAGCTTGTATGTGAGCCAACTCACAAGTCACCTTGCCGATCGGTGCAGTTTCTCATTCTTCATTCCTCCAAAGGGAGCACGATGAATGCATCACTGAGCAACCACTGCCGGGCGGGTGACTTGTCACTTGGCTTGGTAAGCTGCCTTGCGGGTTGACTCAAACGCCGCTTCCAGGGTCATTATTCCTCCAAAGAGAGCACGATGAAGGCATCGCTGAGCGACCACTGCCGGGCGGCACTCTTGTTGGGCGGGTTGAGCACCGCCACCTCCTCGCCGCCCAGGCGGTAGCCAATCACAATCTCCAGACGCTGCCGCGCGCGCACCATCACCTCGAAGAAGCTCAGCTCCTCCCCCTCGTATAGGTAGAGCTCCGCTGGGCGAATGTACATCTCATTGCCCTGGTTGGTGGGATGGGATCAGGGGTGGTGGAGTGGGAGTTTAGAGTGGCGTAAAAACACACCATCACCTCGAAGAAGCTCAGCTCCTCTCCCTCGTATAGGTAGAGCTCCGCTGGGCGAATGTACATCTCATTGCCCTGGTTGGTGGGATGGGATCAGGGGTGGTGGAGTGGGAGTTTAGAGTGGCGTAAAAACACACCATCACCGCGAAGAAGCTCAGCTCCTCTCCCTCGTATAGGTAGAGCTCTGCTGGGCGAATGTATATCTCATTGCCCTGGTTGGTGGGATGGGATCAGGGGTGGTGGAGTGGGAGTTTAGAGTGGCGTAAAAACACACCATCACCTCGAAGAAGCTCAGATCCTCTCCCTCGTATAGGTAGAGCTCTGCTGGGCGAATGTACATGTCATTGCCCTGGTTGGTGGGATGTGGGAAGAGGCTTTTGAGAATGGGGATGGAATGGATGGTGATGCCCCTGGTGCATGCATGAATACAACGGGCTGCATGCACATACAATCAGGTGTGTGGCCGCGAGAGCAGTGCTTTGGAGGTTCAGAATAGCAGCCGACGAAGGTGAATGAAGACCGGGCTAGAACGAGAAGAATAAAAATCATGAGCTCTTCTCAGGCAGGAAGCATACCTCTTCTGAGAAGAGCTCTTCCAGCACGCGGTTGATCTCCCGATCCTCTGACACCTGCATGCACATGGGTCACATGGGTGGGTCGCATTTGGTGCGCACATGGTTTGAAGAGCAAATTCAGAGCCACGAGGACATTTGGGTTGTCACGATGAAAATGAGCTTGTTAGTGCGAGAGCAGAGAGTCACTGATTTTAGAAACAGACACGAGCGCGTGCTTCAGTCGACAAGCAAAGGAATGTCGTACCATTGACCCTCATGCTCAACCCAAGCACCCACCACAGCCAGGGCCATGGAAACAAGCTCATTGGAATCGTCACTGATCTTAGACACCGAGACGAGGGACCGTGTGCGGGAATCCAGTGAAGGGGTGGAGGAGCAAGCAAGGGAGTGTCTCACCATTGCCAGGGCCATGGAGACGAGCTCATTGGAGAGCACATAGTCGCGTTTTGAGTCGACTCAAAACTCGACTTATCAGCAAGGGAGTGTCTCACCATTGCCAGAGCCATGGAGACGAGCTCACTGGAGAGCACAGAGTCGCTGATCTTGGACACTGCCACGAGCGAGCACGTGCACGAGTAGGGGAGCAAAAAAGTCTCCTACCATCAACCCTGATGCTCAATCCATGCACTCACCATTGCGAGGGCCATGGAGACGAGCTCATTGGAGAGCACATAGTCGCTGATCTTGGACACGGCCACGAGGGATCGCGTGCGCGAGTCGAGAATCTCGGAAATAACAATCGACTGCTGCGACGCCTTCTGCATCTGCCTGATCCACGAGCCCCCGTTCCCATTCCCATTCCCGATCCCACTGGAACCAGCAGCACCATCCGCCCCCGCCCCGACCCCTGCGCCTGCCCCTGATGCTGCTGCTCCCAGGCCGCCAGCAGCGAAAGCGGCAGCGGCGGCGGCGGCAGCAGCGCCAGGCACGATGTGTGCGCTGCGCGAGGGCCCGCGGGCAGGGGCGCCGGAGAAGCAGACCTCGTAGGGCATGCGCTTGGACTGCAGGGGAAGAGGGGGGAGAGGAGGAAAAAGAAGGGCGTGAGGAGAGGTGGGGTGTGAGTGGGGCAGGAGGAGTATTTACAGGCACCTCAAGAACCATATCGTAGGTGGGATGTGATTGCCTTGGGCAAGTGAGAGAGTAATTGCACTGGACGAGCAACAGAGCGGTTGGGGAGCTGGAATCCTTCTACCTGGCTGGCCAAAGGGTGAATGTAACAACCTCAGTTGCTTGTTCTACCCGGCAAATAAGGAACAGTTCGGGTTGACAAATCTTTTGGATTACAACTTGGCTGGGAGTGTGTCGGAAGTTGGCCATGTACTGTTGGGGTGTAAACTTTCAACAGCCCATGTGTTCATTTCATCGCCCCAGTTTGAGGCGGCGGCCAAGTTGGGCAAGAAACCTGCCTATCTAGAGTGTTCACCACCTCCAACCCAAACAGTACATGGCCCACCTCTGACACCCTCCCAGCCAAGTTGTAATCCTCAAGATTTTCCAATTCTAGCCGTTCCTTATCTGCACCTGTGATTTGAACCCTATATTTTTCCAGGTAGAACGAGCAGTTGGGATGTTACATTCACTCTTTGGCCGGCCGGGTAGAAGGGTTCCAGCCCTCCAACCTCTCTGCTGCTCGTCCAATGCAATTACTCTCTCACGTGCCCAGAGCAATCACTTTCTCTCACTTGCACTTCACACCAGCTAACCAAAGTGTTTCTACTAGCAAGCTGGATGTGACCCCATCAACTTCTCTTGAGCGGATGGGGTCACCTGGATGTCGCGGATGAGCAGCAGCGTGGCGAGCGAGCGCAAGTCAGAGTTGATGGTTGACACAGCTCCCACCGTCTCCAGATAACACCTACACTCCCTCCCACCTCCCTCGTGCAGCACTCACCTGGATGTCGCGGATGAGCAGCAGCGTGGCGAGCGAGCGCGAGTCAGAGTTGATCACCGAGTCCTCCACGCCTTCGTCGGCTAGAATGAGGATCTGTAAAGGGGAGAGAGAGAGAGAGAGAGAGAGAGAGAGAGAGAGAGAGAGAGAGAGAGAGAGAGAGAGAGAGAGAGAGAGAGAGAGAGAGAGAGAGAGAGAGAGAGGAAACCCCTTAGCCCTCTGCCCTCTGCCTCATCCCTCTGCCCTCCGCCCTCCAGAGCTATTTAAGGGCTGTTCCCCCCTCCTTCTCCTCATTATTTTCGTGTGGAGTTCATTTCCAGCGGCTCGCGCCGGCGGCCTTCGGCCGCCGCCGCTCGCCAGCGCGGCCTTCGGCCGCGCGCTCCTGGTGGCAAGGAACAAGTCGGTGGATTGCTATACCAGGAAGAACACGCACGCAAAGGATTCAAGGGAGAAAAGCCTAGGCAAAAGAAAACGGCATGCAATACTACACGCGGCGGAGGCCTACATCGTGTACGGCTCCGCCCCCTCCATCTCAAGCATCGAGCGCATGCACGCCGATACCGCAAGAAGGAGATGCGCCGATGACTGGAGCATGTCCAGGGGGGTCCCGGCCTGAGCAGCCCCTACAAGATCCCCCACGTGGCGGGGGAAAGTACGGGCTAAGGGAGCTACCCCGGCGGGCGCTTCCGACACGGGCGCCAACGGCGACTCGAGCGATTCTGCCAAAGTCACGCAGGATCCTCGGGATCCTGGACCGAAACTGCTCGGAAAGTTCCGGGTGGCCCCACACACCGCCAGCTGCAAGCTCGCCACCACCTCGCTCGCCTCCGCCAGATTCAATATCCGGCACATGGTCAGCATGGGGTCTCTCCCCGCGGGATTGGGGAGAGGTGCGGTCTGCTCTTCGCGCGGAAACGACGCCGACCAGCCAGGAACGCGGCCAACAGTCATGCGCCCAGCGGAGAAGCCTGGAACCTGACGAGGCGAGCGATACTCGGGTCTCCCCACCCGCGCGGGCAGATACTCGGTCAGCATCGGCGCGCGCAGGGGGGCCACCTGGCCGGGATCCGCGGCAAAGGGAGGTCCATTCGTCACCTCGATGTGAACGTGAGTCGGCCCCCCGCTCGCCCGGGCCTGCCGCACCACATCCACGAAAGTGTTCGCAGCGTGATCAAGAGCAGGATCCGGCTGGCGGCCAGATGAGCCGCGCCCTCCGCCATTCCGCCGGCCCCGCCGCCCAGCGGAACCACCCGAATTCGGACGCGGAGGGGACTGCTCGCGGCGACCCGATTCCCAGCGACGCCCAGGCGACCCCCTCCCCCGCGTCGCCGGAGCTCGCCGCGGTGATTGTTGAGCGGGGGATCGCGCTCGGGGTGAGCGCGGGCCTGCTCGACCTCGGGGGGACGGGCGCCGAGGAGAGGGAGGACGCTCAGGGGAGCGCTGATCCCCCTTCCTGCGCTGATTATGCTCGCGACGCGCGGGAGATGGGCGACGAGGAGACGGCTGCCGTAGGGGCTGACGCTGAGGCGAGTGCCCGCGCACCTGCGGCGGCTGACCGTCTGGACGGTTCGACGCAACACGCGCCGGAGCCCACGAATACTCAGGGGAGGAGGGGCGCGCGGCCGGCTGATGGGGAAGAGTCTGCACCCGCTCGAAGCGGCGGACGGGCTCGCTTGCGGAGGGATGCGCAAGAAGACGCGGACGAGGCTCGGCAGGTGCAGGCTCCCGCGGCGCGCTCTCCGCGGAATGCTCAAGCTCTGGATCCCGTCTTGCGGACGGGTCCATCACTCCCGACCGTAGCGCAGCAGATGCCAGCGCGCCGACGAGGCGAGGACGAGACGACCGCGGTGCCGCAAACGGAGCGCGAGGGAGTCGCGGCAGCAAGAGTAACGCGCGGAATCCGCGTCGGACGCGGCAGTCGCCGCGGACGAAGGGGTAGCGAGCGTGGACGGAGAGGTGGCGGTGCGCGGGGCACGAACAGACGCCGCACAGGAGCCAGCGGCTTCGCGAGAAACGCGGAGAGGCTGATACGACAGAGCGCAAGAGGCGGCGAGGAAGAACCTCGCGAGGAGACAGAGGAGGCTGCGGAGAATGAGGGAAGTGACGAGGGTGACCCCTTATTTAACCCTGATAGAGAGGGGTTGTTAGGGGCAGAAGTCGAGGAGGATGAAGAGGAGTTGGATCGCCTACTCCAGGGAGGGGAGGTCCCCAGCCCACGTGCCCGAGGCGATCCTGCCAACCGAACCACATCCGAAGGTGGGGGGCAAAATCCAAACCCGGGCCGAGCCGCATCTGCAACTCCAACCCCCAGAAATCGGACCGCGAGACCAAACCGAACCGCCCCCAACATTGCGGTTACCACCGCCCCAGCCAGTAACACGGGCCCAACGCCTGCCACCCACGCCCCAATCATCAGCGCTGACATCCTGGCAGGTCGTCAAGACCTTTTCGCTGACATCGCCAACTGGGACCTCGGCCCGCTGCGCGACAGCAGACAGCCACCCCTTGCCCGCCACCCACCTCGCCCACTTCGCGAATCCTTCGCCATCTGCCTGCTGACCCCACTTCTGCACCTCGCCAAAACCCCTGATTCCACATCTGGCTGGAAGCTGCTGATGTTTCTCCCGCGAATTCTCCTGCGCTCGTCATCTGCACGAAAACCAGACTGGAAGGCAATGGGCGACAGACTGACGAGATTTCGCCAAGGGCAGTGGCGCGGCCTTTACGACGAGGCGGCAGAAGCAGTGAACAACAACCCCCAACCACGCCACGTACCTGACACCACGGGAAAGCTGGCGAGAGCCGAGGGATTGGCGAAAAGGGGAAACCTAGCGAAGTCCCTCCAGTCGCTAACTGCCACGCCCGTCTGCTCGCCAACCCCTGACGTTTTGAGTGCGCTCACGGCCAGGCACCCAAGGGCAACCGCGGCTATCCCAGACTGGGTGCAAGACTTTGCCCCTGAGACTCTGCCCTCAATCACAGCTCGCGATTTCAGGAAGCTGCTTGCCCGTTGCCCCAACGGCGTAGGGGCTGGGCCATCAGGGACTACCTTCGAGCACCTGAGGGATGCGGCCCTTGGGAACGCCGACGTCCTCTTGCAACTGCACGCGCTTACCAACACGGCGCTAGCGGGTAAACTGAACGCCGAGGCTGCAGATCTACTCACCGCTTCGCGTCTGCTCGCCTTCACGAAACCCCAAGGCGGAACTAGGCCAATAGCCGTGGGTGAATGTCTGCTGCGTATTGTCACAAAGGCGGCGCTCTTCCTGGCCGCTCCTGCAGCGCGCGACCACTTCACCCCGCTACAATTCGGTGTGGCGATCGCGGGGGGCATTGAGGCAGCGATACACGCGGCCCGCACCTACCTGGAGGAGTTCCCTGGAGCAACGGCCCTCCAGATTGACCTGGCAAACGCTTTCAATGCCGTGGAGCGCGCGGCGGTGTTTGAAGGACTGAAAGGCACGAAGCTTGACACCCTGGTCCCCCTCGTCCGCCTCTCATACAGCCGCCCATCAGCCCTCTACCTCGACCACGACTTCGAGGCGGCGCCTCTACAGAGCGCGCGAGGCGTGCGCCAGGGTGACCCACTAGGTCCTATGCTGTTCGCGGCCAGCATCCACCCCTGTCTCGCTGCAACGGCGACGGCCCACCCAGAGGTGGTGCTCCTCGCGTACGCAGATGACATCACCCTGCTAGGCGAGACCGCGAGCTGCACGGCGGCCTTCAACCACCTCACGGAAGCCCTTCTCAGCCACGGCCTGTCCCACAACCCCGCGAAATGCGAAGCATGGTCCGCCACAGCCCTGGAGCCCGCCGCTCTGCCCCATGGCGTCACTATCTCCCGGGACGGGATCCGCGTCTTGGGCAGCCCGATTGGGCCCCCCGCAGGCTGCGCTGCCCGAGTGCGGGAACGCCTTACTGCTACTGCTGAACCGCTCCCGCTCCTCTCCCAGATGGACCCGCAACTCTGCCTGCTCCTACTTACCCGCTGCGTGAGCCGCCGCGCTTCTTTCATGGTCAGAACCACGCCGCTTGAAGCCCTACCTCTGAGGGAATGGTCCGCCTGGGGGGAAGAACTGTTCCATACCTACCTTGCCGCAGCACACACAGAAATCCCCAGAGCCCGGGTCGAGAGGGAGAGGATTTGGCACCAGGCCGCCCTGCCCGCGTCCCTGGGAGGCCTGGGCATCACCAACCCTGCAGTGGAGGGGGGATATGCTTACCTGGCTGCAGTCACTGCTGCTGCACACCTGCTGCGCTCCTTCGGCGACGCGGCAAACCCTGCTCTCACTGGACTCCTGCCGCTAATGGACCCCAACGAGGAATCTACGTCCCTCCTCCCAAGGCGCCTTGCCGCTCTGGAAGCCGAGCTGCCTCCTGAGGGGATCGAGGCTCTCCAAGTGGGGAGACAGAGACCGGACGGGCCAAAGCTCCAACAATCGCTCTCTCTCGCGGTTCAAACTGCAAGGTTCATGCAACTGCTCGAGAGCTCGCGGGAGATGGAGCTCAACCCACTGTTCGGACACACGCAGCGGCTGCAGTCCCTCTTGGGCCCCGGCGCAGGGGACTGGCTGCTCGCCGTCCCGCTGATCTCCTCCCTCCGCCTCGGGCCCTCTCAGTTCTCCACAGCGGCCTCCTTCCGCCTAGGCCTGCCCCTACCTGTGCCAAGGCGCTGTGACTGCAGATACCGCACCACATTCCCTGACGACCGTCTACCGAACCATTTGATGCGGTGCGAGAAAGGGGGGGGGAGAATTGCAACTCACAATGCCCTTCGGGACGAGTGCGCAAAGATAGCTGCGGAAGCGGGCTTCACCGTGCATAAGGAGACAACGGCTTACTCACCGGTCGAAAACCTCAAAGCGGATATCTCTATCCGCCATCCCGACACCGGTGAGGTGTGGATCTGTGACATCACGGTCACGGACCCCATCTCCCTCCAGGATGAATACGCCCGTAAAGCTCCCGGTTGGGCTGCTAGAATGCAGGCGGACAAGAAGGCAAGCAAATACGCCAGGCGGAGCGCTTGGGTGGGCTTTTACGCCCTCGCGGTTGAGACCTACGGTTACCCCTCGAGGGGAGTCCTGGAATTCCTTCGCAGCTGCGCGGAGTTAGCGGCCAGGCGGCGGTTCAACGCCACTCCCAAGTCGAGGGAATGCGCCAGGCTACTCACCGAGTACCGGCAGCGGTGGAGTGTGACCCTGCAGAGAGCGCAAGCCACTGCCCTCAGGGATAAGACCCATGAGGCCCTCACAGCGGATGTGCTCGGCCTGCAGGGCCCGTTTACTCCAATGAGCGAGGGGCAGCTGTATCAGTTGATAGAAGACCCCTCCGGCCATTAGGGCCGGGCGGGGAGGGGGGGGCTGGGGCTGGGGTAGTGCACGGTTAGCTGTTGTTTTGCTGTAGCCTTGCTGCGAGACTGCTGTAGCCTTACCATGTGTGTACCTTGCTGACATTAATACCAAGGACCGTTCGAGAGAGAGAGAGAGAGAGAGAGAGAGAGAGAGAGAGAGAGAGAGAGAGAGAGAGAGAGAGAGAGAGAGAGAGAGAGAGAGAGAGAGATAATGAGGATAACCTATGTATACTCTCTCGTTGAAAACCTGAAGGCGG